TGTAGCATGAGTACGTAAATCAATGCATACCCAGTAAATATCTAGCCTAACCCTAGAGAAGTAGTGACGAGGGGTCGACAACGACACTTACTAGTGGTCCAATAAGACAGATACAGTAAGAAGGAAACAGATATAGGGCAGAGTAAATAAACGAATTAAACAAGTGTAAATACGTGATACGGTCCTCCTCTCTACAATAGACTCAAGCTCTCAATTAGCAATTACCTCCTCAACCGGAGCATATATATATATATATATATATATATATATAATGGACCTCACCAGAAGGGTTGTCATAATTCAAATCATAAAGACTCATAGATATACTGACTTCTTGTCAGACATTACGCACGATTTCCATGAGAGTATTTTATAGAAATGCCGAGGCGTACGACCCGATCCCATCATAATCTGTGCACTGCCGAGGTTCGAACAACACGAACCATAGATACATCCATTATACTGCCGAGGCAAACGGCCCTCTCCCATGAGAGTGTGGTACATAATCCTGCCGAGGCGAACGGCCCGATCCCATCATAATCTGTGCACTGGCGAGGATCGAACGGCACGAGCCATAGATGTATCTATTCTGCGGATAATCATGAAACTCGTCAAATCTCTACAATAGCAAGTCTATCACTCTACATCCGTCTAGTCTCAAGTAGTAATGCGAAGTAAAGGAATTTAATAAGCAAGAGCTAACCCAAATAGTACAGTTATAGCATAGCGTGAACCTGAGTCTATGATACACTCAAATTACACTTAAATAAATAGTGTAAGGCGGTCGGTCAAATATAATAACCCAACAAGGTTGGGGTCGAATCGGGAATAGGTGTGAAAAGGTTACTTGAATAGTGTGAAACTTGACTTAAGTCGTAATTCTGCTCCTTTAGCTTAAAAAGAGAATGNTTAAGGAAACCAAGGTTGTGTCCCCATCAATGAAATGTAATGCTATCGGTGTTAATATGATATATTTCTAATGGAAGGTCCTTTGATATGCAAATGGTTTCTAAATGACAACCCAATATTTCCCAATAGTTGGGTAGTATTTTCTCTTTATGATTTTTTCAAATATAAAAGAGTTACAATTAAGAATAACCAATTTATGCCAAGTAGAACTCGCTTATTCCTAAGCGATTCTATTAAACAAGGTTTAAAGCCTTAAGTTCTTGAAATTCACTTCTACCAAACCCTAACCCACTTTTCAAAGTAAAGATAGAGTAAAATGGAATGAGTCAATATTTGCAACCAACAACAATAAATAAAGCATAAAAATGAATAAATATCAACCAACCATTATATATATTCAATGTTAAACACCCATTAACATTACACCATTTAGGATCCACAACCTTAGTATTTAAAACTAACTACTCATACTAGAATCCAAAAATAAAGCAATAAATAAAGTCATAAAACTTACAAAGGTACAAGATTCTCTCTTCAAAAGCTTCCAAAATAATGGTGTATTCAATGCCTTCAATGTAGTCTCTTTTGTCAAACCCAATGTCCCACAAAAACCCTAGTAAATCTATTTATAGTGGACCAAAAGTCGGGGTCAAAGTTGGACAAAAATGCCCCTGCAGAACCCATCTGCGACCGCAGAATGGTCGTAGATCAAGTATGCGGTCCGCATATTTGCAAGGGTTGTCGCATAATCACACACCCAGTTGCCTAGCTCTCCATCACATTTCCATTCTGCGGTCCGCATAGTGATTATGCGACCGTAGACTTCTTCGCAAAGTGTTCAAGCAAAGTTTTCTTGTTGCAATTGTGCGGTCATTATGCGGTCCGCAGAAGCGTTATGCGGTCGCATAATGGACCACATATTCTTCTCTTCAATTGCTGAAAAACCTGCTTCACTCTGCGGTAGGTTTGCGGTCCGCATATAACTTCCGCGGTCGCAGACGTGCCGCATTTCTGCCCTTCTATGGGTTTTTGTCTTCTTTTCCATGTTTTTGGATCTTCAAGTCTCGTACACTACAAAACACCAAAACTTCATAAGGAATAACTAAAAATGCTTTAAAAGACGAGCTAAAGTCTATGTAATTAGTATCAAAAGTGCCGAAATTCTACGGCACATCAACACCCCCAACTTAGACTCTTGCTTGTCCTCAAGCAACAAAAACAAAATCATCCTACCCTATACTACTCTATTTCCGATATATCACAAAATAGAAGTGACTGCAGATGGTTTTGACTATCAGCTAACAAGCATGTAACATCTTTTATTCACCCTCCGTGGAAAACAACGATCATTTAACAATTCGACTAATCAACTTGTAAACTTCGAGCCTCAAGAAAAATAACAGAATGCTACCCACAGCAAAGTGTGCACTTGTATTCTACTTCAAGAACCTAGCTTCTCCTTAATGTTGCAATTCATGCGTGCTCACAGCAAAGAAAATCCCCAACTCACACATATGTATAGGGGATGCAATCAAACACTCTTGCACTCAGAACAAAAGCTACATGCTACAAGTATCAGTCCATATGCTTGCCCTTATTTTAACTCGCTGCTATCTCAAGAATGATTGGCTGTAGATCACCAAGGACTTTTTACGGGTTGTAGTGTAGGCTTCGGGATGGTTTGGATGAATATTTGGGAATGTAGTGGCTATACCCTCCGTGACAAAATAGCAAGTGAACAGGTCATAATTAACACAGACATTCCAATATTCATTATAGAGGCTAAAGATAAAATAAACAAGCTTGATTAGGGAAACATCCATGCACCCTTGCATTGTTACCCAAGTTAGGTTTGGGTAAATACAGAACTAGTAGCATTAGGAGGAGAGTCAGATGCTAAAAGACTTAGAACAAGGTAGAATTAATAGAATCACGTGCAAAAGCAATCCAGAAAACATATTAAGACAGGAATTTCAGAGGTGAGAACATACGCAAATCAAGAACACATAGGAATGAAACTGCAAGAGTCAAGTAGCTTACCAGTTAGACGAATAACAAACAAGAGCAAAAGATCCACAAGAATCAAGAAAAGTTCGAACACTAGATTCTTTGTGGTCTTCGCTTTCAACCGGCCACCACAAAACAAAAGAGCATGATAATAAAGAAATTCACATAACAAAGCCTCAAGTTCATAGTGAGATTATATCGATTAAGGCCTGTACAAAGGGAATGGGGGGAGAGGTTTATATAGTAGCAAAATCGGATGCACAAACAAGGAAAATAATTGATTAAACACTGGTAAAGAAAGAAATCGAGTAAACACAGACGAAGAAAAGGGAGAAATCTCACATGCAAGTCAGTAAAACAATAGAAAAGGAAAAAGTATCAAACTCCAAACCCTAGTTAGGGTTTTAAACTCGAAATCGAACAACTGGTATGAAGGATCCAGTTCATCTTGCGTAAATGGACGGAATATCACACAAATCTTCAAGATTGAGTCGATTCTCGTCCGATATAGAGGTAGTATAATTAGAAAAATACCTAAGTATTACCATAATCGAGTAACCAGTACCAAAGGAACCTAAATATGGTAAGCAAATAATGGTAAAATCCCATTATCAACGGGATTTGGAGAGGGGATTAAGGGGGAGGCGGCTAGGGTTTTCAGAAGAGGAGAGATGAGAGCATATGAGGGCGGCGGGTTGGAGGTATTGCCTAGGGTTTTGGGGGGTTTGGTTAATTAAAAACGGGGGAAAGGATGTGGGTCGTTGATCTTGAAAGATCAACGGCTAGATTAAAAAACGAACGGGGCGGGTTAAAATGAAATGGGTACCGACCGGGTTGAGTATGGTTTGGGCTAGGGGTTATCGGGCCAGTGTATGGGGTAATTAGGCTGAGGTTTGGGTAATTTTTAGGTCCGAAAAGAAGTTTAGAATTAGGCTATTATTTGAATATCCAATACTTAGCAAAAATAATTTATAAAAATATCTAATAAATAACAAAAATAGTATTTGTGAACTAAAAATGATTAAGAATAATTACTTAACATTATAAAAATATAAAAAAGTCATTTTCTGCATAAATAATGTAATTATACATTAATATGGGCTATTACTGCAAAAATGTGCAATTAGCCCTAAAAATACAGATGTAATTATAAAAAATATAGTAAAATATTTAAAAATATTCGTGTAGGTGTAAATGATAATTCTGGATGGTTAACTCATCATAAAATAATTTGAAGGATAATTACTGAATATTTATATAATAAAATGCAGAAATAAATCGATTTAAAGCCCTTTTAAAATTATGAAAAATGCTTGTATAAGCTTATAAGCTAAATGATGATGCATATGTACCATTTTGAAAGTATATATATACAATTAAAAAATATGAGGAAAAACTTGGGTATCAACACCGGACTCACCCAAGAACTATCGGCAATGGGGTAGACTACCCCGGCATCTAACCATTTGATGATTTCTTTCTTTACCACCTCTTGCATAGAAGGGTTTAACATTCTTTGATGCTCCACGCTTGGTTTGCTCTCCTGCTCCAATTGTATCATGTGCTCGCAAATTCCGACGAGAATCCCTCGGATGACCGCTATTGTCCACCCAACGGCTTGCCTGTGCTCCCTCAGGACATTCAACAAGTGTTCTACATGCTCATCATTCAACAAAGAAGAAACGATTACCGGTAGAGTTTCATTAGAGCCACGAAATTTATACCTTGTGCGGTGGAAGTGGCTTGAGCTCAAGTTGTGGCGGCTCAATAATTGAAGGCTTGGCGGGAGGAGTGACTCTATTCTCTAAGTCAAGAGAAAGTTTCTTTGGTGCATAAGTGTACCCAGGTCCTTCTAATGCATTCACCGATTCCATGTACCCCTCCATATCTTCACCATCAAAATTCACCAAAATAGCCGCCAACGCCTCACCAAGGCATTCTTCTTCTATCTTCATATCGATTGCATCTTCTACCTCATCAACAACATCAATGACTGAGATGCTTTCATATGCATGTGGCAACTTCATACCCTTACTTGCTTGAAAGGTAACCTCTTCGTCATTAACTCGGAACTTGATCTCATTTCATTCCGAATCCATAAGTGCTCTTCCGGTAGCAAGGAATATTCTCTCCAAGATGATAGGGATTTTGTTATTAACAGCATAATCAAGGATCACAAAGTCGGAGGGAAGGAGGAAGTTCCCCACTTTCACAAGAACATCATCAACAATACCCACCGGTCTCTTTATTGAATGATCGGCCATTTGCAACCTCATACTTGTAGGCCTCGGCATACCTAACCCCACTAGCTTGTAAATAGCAAGAGGCATCAAGTTGATGCTAGCCCCATTATCACAAAGAGCTCTTGCAAAATCGTACAACCCAATAGTGCATGGAATGGTAAAAGCTCCCGGGTCTTCTTTCTTTTGAATGGTGGTTGTTGCACTGATCGAACTAAACCCAGTGAGTCACATTCACCACTTCATTCTTGGTGGTTTTCTTCTTGGTGATCAAGTCTTTCAAATACTTAGCAAAACCTGGCATCTGTTGAAATGCTTCCACAAACGGAATATTCACCGATAATTGCTTGAGAATGTCATAGAACTTCTCGAGTTTGCTATCAACAACCTTCCTATCAAGTCTTTGAGGAAAAGGAGGAGGTATAGGAATTGGTGCTAGAGTTTTTGGTGTCAATTTCACCTTTTCCTTAACCTCTTCCCGGTTCACTTCTTGAATTTTCACCTCCTCTAGGACTTTTTCAGCTTCAACAACAATTGGCACCTCAACTTGTGCCTCAACTTCTTGTTCAGAATCTTACACTTCGACCACTTGTTCATTCTCTCCTTGAAGTATTTTCCCACTCCGAGTTGTGATTGCCATACAATGAGAAGTTGGACCGCTCCCACAACCTTTTGGGTTTGCAATTGTGTCACTTGGGAGTGTGCCCTTTTGCTTCGGATTTTGATCTCTTGGGAGATCTCTCATTTGCATCTCCAACTTTTGAATAGATGCGATATGAGAACCCACAAGCTCGGTCATATTCTTCATTGAAGTGTCGGATCTTTCTTGATTTTGCAATACTCGTTCAAGCATGTTTTCCAAATTGAAATCATTGAAGAACTTTCCTTCCAATGCGGAGAGTTGGAATATTGCCCCTTTAATGGAACATAGGGGTTTGAACTCCAATTTGAAAAGTTGTTGTTGTTACTCCAATTCCCTTGATTTGAACTACCTTGGTCATTTCGCCACTGTTGGTTGCCTTGCCCTTGTGGGTTAGGCCTCCATTGGTTTTGTTGTCCTGAACCTTTGTAGGTTTGCCTTTGATAACCTCTTTGAGAGTTGTTGACATAATTTGCTTCCTCGTAATCCTCATTTGATGTGGGTTGAACATCTTCCACCACGTTCACCTTTTTGTTTGGCTTTCAGTGAATATCTTCGTCAACACATTGACATTGGTGGCAAGCCCGGCAATTACTTGATCTCTTTCTTGGTTCTCCTTAATCATGTTGGCCAAGGAAGGAGTACCATATGCAATTCCACCCGTGGTGTCCTCTAAGTGCCAAGCTTGGTTATGTTTTGCCATTTTGTCAAGGATTTGTGTGATCCTCGCAAATGTTTTATCCATAAAAGATCCATCAGCTGTATTTTTGGCTATAGATTGATTCATAGGATCCAAGCCCATGTAAAATTTCTCCAACAAGATAGTATTCGGAAAAACATGATTCGGCGACCTCACTAAATATAGCTTGAATTGATCCCATGCCTCATGTAGGTGTTCTCCCGGTAATTGCTTGAAAAAGAAAATTTTATCCTGGAGATCAAACTTCTTGCTTTGCGGGAACCGTTTAGCTAGGAAATCTCGGACGAGTTCAGGCCAAGAATGAATGGAATTAGGTGGTAGATTCTGGATCCATTTCCTTACCTCTCCGGCTAGTGAGTATTTGAACACCCTCAGCCTTAGAGCATCATCTGAGACGTTATTCTGCTTATGCATCGCACACACACCCAAGAAGTTTCTGAGATGTTGTGTCGAATCATCATCGGTGGAATTTCTGAAGAACCCCTCTGCTTTGAGCATTAGGATTAGACAGTGTTCCACCTTGAAGGTAGCAGCATAAACTCTTGGAGGGACAATGGAATTTGTATCCTCAATATACTCATCTATATCCGCAAAAGGGTTCTCTTCATCGTACTCGGCCATGTTTACCTAATAACACCAAGCAAAGTGTGATGGAGTAGAAGAGCATGTAAAGTAAAGCACACACTAAACAGTAATTTCAAAACCTTATTCCCCGGCAACGACGCCAAAATTTGAAACGCTCAATTACACTTAAATAAATAGTGTAAGGCGGTCGGTGTCAAATATAATAACCCAACAAGGTTGGGGTCGAATCGGGAATAGGTGTGAAAAGGTTACTTGAATAGTGTGAAACTTGACTTAAGTCGTAATCCTGCTCCTTTAGTTTAAAAAGAGAATGATGTAATTGTGAAATTGACAAGATAACTATTTTGTTGTGAGAATGTAATTAATTTGATTAAGGAAACCAAGGTTGTGTCCCCATCAATGAAATGTAATGCTATCGGTGTTAATATGATATATTTCTAATGGAAGGTCCTTTGATATGCAAATGGTTTCTAAATGACTACCCAATATTTCCCAATAGTTGGGTAGTATTTTCTCTTTATGATTTTTTCAAATATAAAAGAGTTACAATTAAGAATAACCAATTTATGCCAAGTAGAACTCGCTTATTCCTAAGCGATTCTATTAAACAATGTTTAAAGCCTTGAGTTCTTGATATTCACTTCTACCAAACCCTAACCCACTTTTCAAAGTAAAGATAGAGTAAAACGGAATGAGTCAATGTTTGCAACCACCAACAATAAATAAAGCATAAGAAATGAATAAATATCAACCAACCATTATATATATATATATATATATATATATATTCAATGTTAAATACCCATTAACATTACACCCATTTAGGGTCCACAACCTTAGTATTTAAAACTAGTTACTCATACTAGAATCCAAAAACAAAGCAACGCATAAAGTCATAAAGCTTACAAAGGTACAAGATTCTCTCTTCAAAAGCTTCCAAAATAATGGTGTATTCAATGTCTTCTATGTAATCTCTTTTTCAGACCCAATATCCCACAAAAACCCTAGTGAATCTATTTATAGTGGACCAAAAGTCGGGGTCAAAGTTGGACAAAAATGCCCCTGCAGAACCCATCTACGACTGCAGAATGGTCGTAGATCAAGTATGCGGTCCGCATATTCGCAAGGGTCATCGCATAATCACACGCCCAGTTGCCAAGTTCTCCATCGCATTTCCATTCTGCAGTCCGCATAGTAATTATGCGACCGCAGACTTCATCGCAAAGTGTTCAAGCAAAGTTTTCTTGTTGCAATTGTGCGGTCATTATGCGGTCCGCAGAAGCGTTATGCTACCGCATATTCTTCTCTTCAATAGCTTAAAAACCTGCTTCAGTCTGCGGTAGGTTTGTGGTCCGCATATCACTTCCGCGGTCGCAGACTTGCTGCATTTCTGCCCTTCTATGGGTTTTTGACTTCTTTTCCATGTTTTTGGATCTTCAAGTCTCGTACACTACAAAACACCAAAACTTCATAAGGAATAACTAAAAATGCTTTGAAAGACGAGCTAAAGTCTATGTAATTAGTATCAAAAGTGCCGAACTTCTACGGCACATCGGTCTACCCGGATAATAACATGAATGTAGCTACGTATGGAGTCTCGTCACCTCGTGCGTACCTAGCCCCCGCAACAAGTAACACATATCAATTACAACACCTGGGGGTAGTTTCCCCCTCATATAGTTAGACATGAGACTTACCTCGCTCTGAAGTTCCATAACCGGCTCCAACGCCGCTCTAACACCTCAAATCGATGCTCATCGCTCCAAAACTAGTCAAGCAACGCGCAAATAATAAAAATATACTCTAATACTCATAATAAATCAATTTTTAACAATTCCCAACTCCGCACGAAAAATCAATAAAGTCAACCCTCGGGCCCACATGCCCGAATTCTGAAAATTATCAAAAATAAATATTACCCACAACACATATGGTCTATATCCAGAAAATCATCCGATTTCGTCCATGAATCGGCCCTCAAATCAAGGATTTACCATTTCTCAACTTTGGGGCTCAAAATCCCAATTTATACAATCCAAACACGGATAAAAATAATAATCAACGGAAATAGTCATGGAGAAACATCAAAATAAAGGTCATATATTTACCCCCTTGTTGAGATGAGAACAATGCCGCGAAATCACCTCAAACGGAGCTCTAGAACTCAAGATATGTCCAAAATACTAAAATTCTCGGTTTAAAACACTATCCAAGCAATTTTTCTTTTTCGCGTTCGCAAAGAGCAATTCTTCGCGCTGACCAGTCAACCCAAACTTCCTTCTTCGTGTTCGCGGGACATACCTATGCGTTCGCGAAGAACAAAGTCCGCACCAGAAATCAAAAATCTTTCCCGAGACGGAAATGGGCATATCTCTCATACAACATCAAAATTCGATGATTCTTGTTGTTATGGCTCCGTAATTACGATATGGATATAATGGTTCAATCCAATCACAAATCAAAGGTCATTTTCTTAATATGGTACCCTTTATGTCCAAAGAAATAACGTTGAAACATCAAATAAGAGCACGATACAACCCAAACACATCCGAAACACACCCGAGGCCCCCGGGACCCCGTCCAATCACACCGACCCGCTCCATAACATAACATGGACCTGCTTGAGGCCTCAAATCATACCAAATAACATCAAAACTACGAATTGCACATCGATTCAAGCCTAATGAACTATTGAACTTCTAACTTCCACATCCGATGCCGAAACCTATCAAATCACGTCCGATTGACCTCAAATTTTGCACACAAGTCACATTTGACATTACGGACATACTCCAACTTCTGGAATCAGAATCCAATTCTGATATCAAAAGTACACTCCCGATCAAACTTTCAAAAACCTCCAACTTCCAAGTTTCGCCAAATGACCTACGGACCTCCAAATCCACATCCGGACGCGCTCCTAAAACCAAAATCACCATACGGAGCTATTCCTAGGCTCGAAATTCCAAACGGACACCGATAACATTAAAATATACTTAAACCCAAATTTATAAAAGTCTTCCAAAATGCCAACTCTCCCGGGTCATCCAAAACCCGATCTGGACATACGCCTAAGTCCAAAATCATCATACGAACATGTTAAAACCTTCAAATCCTGATTCTGAGGTTGTTTACTCAAAAGTCAAACCTTAGTCAATTCCTCCAACTGAAAGCTTCTGAAATTAGAATTTTCTTTCCAAATCAACTCTGAACTTTCCAAAATTCAATTCGGATCACATGTACAAGTCATAATACCTGAAGTGAAGTTACTCAAGGCCTCAAATCACCGAACAATGTGCTAGAGCTTAAAACGACCGGTCGGGTCGTTACATATGGAATGACGAGGAGAGATGGTAATGGGAAGTGGGAGGGCAAAAGTCACAGGTATTTACCCAAGGTTATATTGCATTTTGAGTAATTAGGAAGGATGCTTAAGGGGTTATACATGTAAGAGAAAGGTGTGGGGGAAGGTGTATTCCCTTAGTCACTCTATAGGCATATGTACATAAGCTTTTACATGTAAGGAAACTCAAGTTGCTTTTATTTACGTTCAAAATATCATTTTCAATATCCATGTATGGATAAAAGTGATCATAACATTTCACGAACGTTACGTGAGGCTGAAGGGTGATGTTAGAAATTAGAAGATCATGTTTTGTATTGTCTCTTCAAAGTAGAGGTTTAGGAATTGCATGGTGCTCATAATGATGTACTCTATTATGTCAAATCATGACTGGGTCAAGGAAGTGGCTATAGAAATGTGTTTTGAGGAGTATAGGGCCAATGAAGGATGTGGTTATTGTGTATTAGGTTGTCGTCACACTTTGTGGTGCCTCATATGGTAGGAGATGTAAATCCCTCGTCGGATGGTCCA